GAGAAAGGAGAAGGGAAAAGAAGGATGAGAGGAGGAGAGAAAAGAATGGAAGAGATTCACTTTGTAACTTATAATGTCAAAGGTTTAAATAGTCTGGGGAAGAGAATTTGGGATATTCAAAGAACTTCAGCACAGATTCTCTTTCAGTGGTGTTCCTGCAAGAAACACATTTATTACTGGAAATAATGTAAAGCTACAATTTAGATGTTATCCTGAGTGGTTTTATGCAGATTCCCCAATTTAAACGTGCAAAGGGTGTGGCAATAGGATTCACGAAAAAATATAAGGTTTAAGTTGGAGGAGAGATTGGTAGATCCGGAAAGGAGATTCCTGTTTTTTGAAAGGAAGAATGCAGGAAGTGGAATGCACATTAGCAAATATTTTTAACTGCCCGACTAAGAAACCGGAGGTATATTTACAAAATGCTTTGAGGAAATTAATGGATTTTAAAAAAGGTCATTTGCTATTTGTGGCAGGGAATATTTCAACTTGTGTATGGATCCACAGATGGATGTGGCCTGTCAGGTGCAGAGAGAGGGTACTAGGTCTTTTGAAAAGGTTAAAAAAAATGTTATATTATTCAATGCCAGCTTATGGATATTTGGAGAATTAAAGCATAATGAAGGACAGAGACTAATACGTTTTACTCTCCTGCACATGGGATGTATTCAAGACACTTCTACAGGAAAAGGAGACGGATCAGACGGTGAAGAAGGAAACTGAGCAATTTTTTTGAGGAAAATGAATCAGAGGAAGTAATGGTAGCTACAGCGTGGAAATTTTCATAAGGCCTATATTAGAGGAATTCTATATGGTGATAGGAGCAAACAAGAAGAGGGAAAGAAGAGATAAAATAAAAACATGCTTTTGGGTAAACTCTGCAATCTAGAGCAGATACATAAAAATAGACTAACAAAAGAGACTACGCAGAAGATAATATATAAAAGAGAAGAATTAAATAATTTCCTGGAAGAAGACAAGAGGAGAGTGTACAACAGAATGACAACTGAGAGTACAGATGGGGGGACAGACCAGGAAAGTATTTAATGCGGGCTCAGAGGAAGAAAAAAATCTAGGAATTATATAGAAAAAAATAAGCGATAAATAAAGGAAAATTAGTGTATTCAACTAAAGATACAGTAAAAGTGTTTAATGAATACTATAATAAGCTATATAATAATGAGCCTCATGGTAATATAGGAGAGGAGGAAGTAAGAAAGACAGAAAGAAGACAGGCATATATAAAAAAGGCGGGATTGCCGAAATTAAGTGAAGAACAATTAAAATCCCTTGAAATACCAATAACTCAGCAAGAAATACATATAGCATTAAAAAAATGTACTGCTGCTGGGAAAAGTCCAGGCCCCGATGGATATACAGTGAGATACTATAAAAAATATGAAGAAATATTACTACCCAAATTGAGGACATATATGAATGCTTTAGGAGGAGAGATGGAAATGAGAAGGGAATCCCTACAAGCTCCATGTGGTACTCATACATAAAGAAGGCAAAGATGACACTCAATGTTCAAGTTATAGACCGATTTCCTTACTAAATATAGATACTAAACTATATGCAAACGTTTTGGCAAATAGACTGAAAGACCTAATGCTGGAATGGATACATATAGATCAAGTAGGGTTTGTCCCAGGGAGGGAGGGTAGAGAAAATGGATTAAGATCATTGTTTCTTATACAATAAAGTAGGAAGGAGAAAACCCCTGTGGTGGTTCTTTCGATAGATGCTGAAAAGGCATTTCATAGAGTAAATTGGAGATTTATGTTAGATACTTTGGAAGTGTTGGGAATGGGACCTAGAATGAGAGAATGGATAAGGAAATTATACAGTCAACCTCCGGCAGCAATTATGGTTAATGGGGAGTTATCAGAATTCATCGGGATGCAGAATGGAACTAGACGAGGAAGCCCTCTGTCTCCATTGTTATATGTATTATCTCTGGAATTGCTCTTGGCTACCATCAGGAATAATATAGATATAAAAGGGATTTGGGTAGGAGAAATGGAGCATAAGGTGGCAGCTTATGCAGATACGACATGTTGTTTTATGTGGAAAACCCAAGAATAACTTTGACAAATTTAATGAAATCTTTAAAAGAATATGGCGAGGTGTCAAATTAAAAAATTAATCCAAATAAAACAGAGATTTTAAATATAAACCTTTTACAGACAGAGAAAAAAAAGTTACAGGAGGAATTCCCCTTTGTTTGGAGAGAAAGAAAACTAAAATATCTGGGTATAAAATTAACTGTATCTCTGAAGAACCTATACAGAATAAATTACATTCCATTATAAAACGAGATTAAGGATGAAATAAACTAGGATGGGGATTTCAGTCATGGGTGGGATGGATAAACCTGATAAAAATGATAATTGTTCCAAAAATCTTATACAAATTTCAAATGATACCAATCAAATTACCAGAGAGGGGTATTTTAGAATAATTAAAAAAAACTTGAGATTTATATGGAGGAGCAAGAAGCCTAGAATAAGTTATGAAATTTTGAGTAGAGATAAAGAGAAAGGTGGCTTGGGAGTACCGGACCTGAAAAGATATTATAACTTAAATAGTTGGGTAAAAATAGAAAACACACTAAGTTACACAAATTTAAGTAGAATTATTTGGTTACCCCCTCAGTATCGTGGATTAACAGAAAAAACACAAGCTTGTTTACATGTAATGTTTTAAGAGTTTGGGATGCCTTACATAAACAAGTAGGATGGGAATATAATTCACTGTTAATGCCTCTAGGATCCACAGATTTTTTTCCTCCGGTTAAAGAAAGTATCATAGGGAAATGGATAAAGAAGAAAGATGTCCAATTAAGAGATATAATGAAGGGGGAGGAAATAAGCACACTTAGTGAACTAGAAAGTAAGAGGGAAATATTTTCCAGAATGGACAAATGACGATATGGTCAACTAAAACACTTTATGGGGAACCTCCCTAAGCCATTAAGAAAAACAGAAGATTGGAACACCTTTGAGCATTTAGTAGAATCATGGGGAGATGGGAAGCACGGGATTTCAAAAATATATAAGATTCTCACAGGATTAGTCACGGTTAAAAGCCCACTATTTATAGAGAAATGGGAATGGGACATAGGAGTAAAAATTGCTGAGGGAAAGCAAAAGAAAATATACAGTTTAATTCACGGAAATGTAAATATGAGAGAGGTTGAAATTAATTATAAGTGTTTGGTAAGATGGTATATAACACCTAGTGTAGCACATAGGATAAGTGGAGACAATTCACCTTTGTGTTGGCGTGGATGTGGAGGGAGAGGTACAATGTTTCACATATGGTGGGAGTGTCACAAAATCAAGAATATTGGGGGGGGGTATTGTGCGCTTAATCCAAGAAATAACGGAGATTAATATCTCAAGGGACCCAGAGACCTGTCTGCTTTATGGTACCAAGCTTTCAGTAAAAAAATATAAAAAATCTGGGCTATTGTATTACTTGAATGCAGCAAAGGGCTTGATACCCAAGTTTTGGAGGGAACAACAAGTACCAAAAATAAAAGACTCGGTGGATAGGGTAGAGAAGATGCATAGAATAGAGGAACTTTATCATGTGGAGGAAGATAAACTGAAGGTTTTCCGTATAAGGTGGGAAAAAGTGGGAAAAATTTTAAAAATCAAACCTATACCTAGAATATGTGTAATAACTGTATTATTAAAGTAATATCAAGTTTGGAATTGGAATTATTAAAAGAGTTGAAAAATGCATAATTAGGGCCGAGAGGGGTGGGGGGGGATGGGGAGGTTTGGGAAATAGGGTAGGAGGGGAGAGGGGGAGGGGTAAAAAATTAATAGATGAATGGCAATGTTTTTAGGACATACGAAACTGAAAATATTTATACTTATATGTCTGTTTTATTAGATTTTGTATGTATGAAATGGTAATAAAAAAATTAATAAAATATTAAATTACAAAAAAAAAGGAGAAAGAAAAAAAAAGTAAGTGAAGGCAATTTGCAGACATAAATAAATACTAAAATACATTTAAACATACAATGGGTTTTTTTCTCTTTTCCTATTCTATCTAGAACTTAAAATATAGTTTTTACTATACATACAATTAAGTTCTAGATGTCCATATATCTCATTTCAATATGGAGCATTTTATTACATGCCCACTAAGAGTTACAAAATATCTTTTTATATGCTAGTAGGGGAAGTCTGCCAACATTCTCTCCTTCTTTCTCCATTCGTAAATTCATGTTTCACTTGGAGCAACAATGTTGCCATTATGTTAATGGGTTAAATCCATACACCTTTTGCCGACTTGAGAGCAATATATATATATATATATATATATATATATATATATATTTATATATATATATACTGTGTATATATATATATGTATATATATATACTGTGTATATATATATATATATTATATATATATATATATATACACTATATTGCCAAAAGTATTGGGATGCCTGCCTTTACAAGCACACAAACTTTAATGGCATCCCATTCTTAGTCCATAGGGTTCAATATTGAGTTGGCCCACCCTTTGCAGCTATAACAGCTTCAACTCTTCTGGGAAGGCTGTCCACAAGGTTTAAGAGTGTGTCTATGGGAATGTTTGACCATTCTTCCAGATGCACATTTATGAGATAAGGCACTGATGGCAGATGAGAAGGCCTGGCTCACAGTCTCTGCTCTAATTCATCCCAAAGGTGTTCTATCAGGTTGATGCCAGGACACTGTGCCGGCCAGTAAAGTTTCCATACCCCAGACTTGCTCATCCATGTCTTTAAAGACCTTGCTTTGTGCACTGGTGTGCAGTCATGTTGGAACAGGAAGGAGCCATCCCCAAACTGTTCCCACAAAGTTGGGTGCATGAACGTGTCTAAAATTTCTTGGTATGCTGACGCCTTAAGAGTTCCCTTCACTGGAACTAAGGGTCCAAGCCCCATCCCTGAAAAACAACTCCACACCATAATCCCCCTCCACTAAACTTTACACTTGGCACAATGCAGTCAGGCAAGTGCTGTTCTCCTGGCAACTGCCAAACCCAAACACGCCCATGGGATTGCCAGACAGAGAAGCGTGATTTTTCACTCCAGAGAACAAGTCTATACTGCTCTAAAGTCCACTGGCAGAGTGCTTTACACCACTGCACCCGACGCTTTGCATTGCATTTGGTGATGTAAGGCTTAGATGCAGCTGCTCAGCCATGGAAACCAATTCCATGAAGATCGTATTGCACTGTTGTGCTAATCTGAAGGCCACACAAAGTTTGGAGATCTTTAGCTATTGACTGTTCAGACAGTTTACATGGCTTACCACTTCATGGCTGAGTTGCTGTTATTCCCAGTTGCTCCCACTTTGTTATGATACCACTAAGAGTTGACCATGGAATATTTAGTAGCAAGGAAACTTCACGGATGGACTTATTGCACAGATGGCAACCTATCACGGTACCATGCTTGAATTCACTGAGCTCCAGAGAGTGACCCATTTTTTCACAAATATTTGTAGAAACAGTATGCATGCCTAGGTGCTTGATTTTATGCAGCTGTGGCCATGGAGGTGATTGGAACACCTGCATCCAATGATTTGGAAAGGTATCCCAAAACTTTTGGCAATATAGCGTATGCGTGGATGCAGTACTGTGCAATGTTTCTTTCACATAATATACAAACTCTGCAATATCTTTTCTTACCTAAGAGGTGCATTATTATTGAATCCTGTCTCATTTGTTTAAATTAAGGACACCTGCAAATACTTATGACCACATCTGTATTCAGATGAACAACAGTTTACATAGCATCCTGCAATCAGCTTCCCCCAAAGAAGTATATTAAACAATACAAGAGCCAGGGGGGTATTTCATCTGTTGACCAAGATAGCCACATGACCTCTTAGCTCCTCTGCACACCAGAAATCAAAGATCTTTCTGGGGCCCCATCTGTCCTCTGGATCACGGTCTCCAGTGCCAGCAGTCTCCCATACCACTAGCGATGCCAAGGTGCAGGAGAGAACATCAACCTCTGTAGAAATTCTCCGGTTTCTTCCCGGTCCTTGGTGGCTGGACCTTTAGCAGCTGCTCATCGGCATATAGGCTGAGCAGCAGTGCCAGTGTTCAAGGCACTAAAGATTCCAGCAGCTCCAGGGCATCTACCCCTTCCACAAGGAGCCCAGTCAGATACAGGCCTTGTAGATCAAGCACACAATGATGAGCCACTCATGGAGGTGGGTATACAATCATTCTCTTCGCCTGAGGGCTCATTTACAGGCATACTTATTTTCATATGTCCACAAACTTTCTGCATAAGTTCAAGACCTTGGAGACAGGCTGAACCATGTTGAAAACAAAGTGGGACAATTTGCCACCACATTTTAACACCCTAGTGGTGGCACATGAGGCTCAAAAAGAAGATTTAACCTGAATGAAAAACAAAATGGCAGATCTAGAAGATAGAAACAACCTAAAGATCCACAGCATCCCAGAAATAGTGCAATCTTCACAACTGCCGCACTGTGTTCAGGATTTATTCCAGGCTGTAATCCCCTCATTAACCTCTGCAGATTTTACCATTTCACAGAGTACATAGAATCCCCAAAACCACACTAACTTTCTTCTAATGTTCAACGTGATATCCTACTACGCTTTTCATTCCAGGTGAAGGAAAGGCTGCTAGAAGCATTCAGCAAAAAAGACCGCCTACTGGAGCAAGCCCCAAGCTGCAAGCCTACAAGTACTCCCTGATATCTCAGTGCACATTTTGCACCAATGCAAAAACCTTGATAATATAACCAAGGATCTCCACAATAACTCACTGGAATATCAATGGAAATATCCTGCCATACTACTTATTACATGGAAAGGAACCACCTCCACCATCACCACACTTGATGAAGGCCTCTGTCTTCTGCGTGAGTGGGGCATCCACCCTGAAAACCCATGTCCACCTTCCGCTGGATCCTTGCTTTTATGGCTCTTTGAAGAATGGTAAGCGGTTTCCCACTAGCGAAGCCATAAATCATGCCAACAAGAAGGCCCCAGGTCTTGATGTACATCAAATATTTGATTCCTAATCTCAAGATTCCTGGCACACAGAACCCACCATGAGATTGTTCATTTGTTCTCTCTAAAGGTGTTACAGCCAGTCTGTGCTTACTTCTACCAGAATTTTTTTTTACCTTCTACACTTTTCTACTAGTAGATTTGCCATCCCACCATTGGCTTACAATATTACTGCAACCCAGTTTGACAGTTCTTCATGTTCCTGTTTTAGCCTCATTAGCATGATGTCCATTGTCAGTAACCTCCAGGAATATACCAACAGGATCTCTGATTCTGTACAGTGATAGATCATCATGGCTCTCTTACCCATATTCCTGTCTGCCATCCACAATGATTCAGTCTACAGAGCACCATACATGGCACTCTGATAACACTTAAAATATCCTCCATAACTGCCAGAGGCCTCAATCACCCAGCTAAAAAGCATTCACTGTGGTGTGAGGCACATTCACTACAAGTGGATATACTTGCAGTCCAAGAGACACATTTCCAAACAGATCCAGTCCTAAAGTGTTTACATAAGGACTTTCTCCATTTATTCTTCTCTACATACTGTATGTTCCTAAAAAAAAGGGTGGTGATGCTAGCAATTAAGAATACAGTGTCTTTCACTCTACATTCTTCTATGATTGACCTAAGCAGTTGTTTTATAATCTTGACCTGTGATATCAACAATAAGCCTTACACACTGGTAAACTTGTGTACCCAATACCTAAACAATTTTTCTTTTTACGTCAAGTGTCCAAGAAACTTTCCAAGATCAAACATGGTAGTCTCCTCATCTGCAGAGACTTCAATATCACAGTTGATCCTCACTTGGAAATGTCCAGGTCTCCTAAACATCGCACTCCCACCTTACTGTCCTTATTCCAAGAAGAGGATGTATATGATGTGTGGCGTTGTCTACACTCCAATGAGAAAGACTATACTTTATTTTCTTCAAGAAATCAGTCTTATTCTTGTATAGATTTGTTTGTTTCTGATAAATAGCTACTACAGCAAGTATCCTCTTCCAACATATCGGATAGCATGTGGTGTGGTCATGCTACTATCACTATTTCTGTGCTGGAAAAGAATACTTGCCCCCCTGTCAGTGTATGGCAATGGAATAGCAGAATACTGCAGGATCCATTCAGCAATACCCTGCTCTCTCAACATCTCAGGGAATATTTTTCAAAAAACAACACCGGTGATGTTAATACCTTTACTGTATGGAATGTCCATAAGGCATTTAGGAGCGGTGTCATTCTGAAACTTTGTGCCTATACTAAACGTAAGTTTAATGCTCAATAAATAAAACTCTGTTAAGTAAAATCCATGAGCTAGAACCCAAAAATAAATCTAAACCTGACAAGGATACTTCTGATTCCCTTCTTGTGGATGGAACTTTATGAGCTCCTACAACTCCAACATGGTAAGTGATTACGGTTCCTAAAACTTCAATATTATACTCACAATAGCAAGGTAAATTTTTAGCCAACAGACTCAACAGCTCAATGCACCAAAAATAAGATTACTCACATTAGCCATCCATTTTCTAACAAGAAACAGCAAAATCCCTAAATCCCCAACTCATTGCAGATACATTCACAGATTTTTATGGCTCTCCTCAACACATGAACGGTAATTTGTCTACACCTCGACCCTCACACTCTGATATTGAGGCTCTTTTCTCCTGTCTAAAGCTACCATTGCTGAGCCCTGGTCTATTAGAACATCTTAATGACCCTATCACTTCAGATGAAGTTATCAATATAATTAAGGTCCTACCCTCAAACAAATCAGCAGGCTTACTAATGAGTACTCCAAATCTTTTAGTAACATCCAAGTTCCATACATGACCAAAATATTTACTGCTGCGCAAAAGCAAGCTTCCTTCCCACAAGAGATGCTAAGGGAGCACATTGTTGCACGCCCTAAACCTGGAAAGTATCCAAACACACCATCTAATTTTAGACTTATATCCCTGTTAAATTCTGATATCAAGGTGTATGCCAAATTGCTAGCCACCTGACTAATGAATATTATATCATCCCTGATACAGCCCGACCAGGTGGGGTTTGTCAGGGGTAGACAAGTACCAGATGCCACTAGATGCATAATAAACATTATACACTATGCAGAAAAATCTTGAATGCATTTTCTGCTGCTTTCAGTTGATGCAGAGAAGGCATTCATTGGCGATATATGCTACATGTTATCCAGACATTTTGATTCCAAGGACCCATATTATTGGCAATACTTGCACTATACTCATGTCCATCTGCTCAGATCTACCTCTTTAATTTACTCTCTAAACAGTTTTCTATTACAAACAGTACAATACAAGGCTGCCCACTGCCCTCACTCATATTTAACTTAATGAATGAGTTGCTAGCAAAGACAATTCGTGCTGATCCTTTGAACACTGGCTTCACATTCTATACAAGTTTGCATGTTATAAATTTGTTTGCTGAAGATGTCATACTTCTCCTGACAAAATAAATCCCTACACTAACCACATAAAGTCCTTATGTATCTCAGTGCTATTTCCTACTACAAAGTCAACTTTTCCAAATCACTCATCCTTAGTTTGGACATTCCCAGTAAAGAGCAGTCCTTTTTAGCACAAACTTATCCCTACTCTTGGACCACATCCAGCATGCCCTACCTAGGTATCTCACTGACCCCATCAGTCTCCACCTAAGCTGAGGTTAACTTTATTTTCCAATAGTTTTTATTGAAAGTTTTTTCAAATAACAAATAGTGCAATAGACATATGTCAAGTCATAAAAGTAGATGTCAAACAGCGCAAATAAAACATGGTTTAACAAGCAGAGGACATACATTAGGAAACCAGATAATCTGTGTGAAAACAACTGGGCAATTCAAATAGAGAATCTCCATCATTAATCTGACCATATACAGGTAACAAAGGTAGCGGTGGGGCAAAGGGGAAAGGAAGGCTAGAGAGGGGCGGAAAGGGAGGGTCAGGGGACATAATAGAGGGTGAAGGGAGAAAACCAGCATTCATAAACCTAAGAATACACACAGAAAGAGTGTTAGTGGAAACATGACAGATGTTGTAGAGCGAATAGGGAGTAGTCTCAACTAGAACAGAAAAAAATGGGAGATAGTAAAAAGTAAGAAAAAGAGATAAACAGGAACAAGGAAAGGAGAGGGTCAAATCGGGAGACATCAAGGCACAGAAATGTATTGAATCTATAGGTCCCATGTTTTATTAAATTGTTTAGTATTGTTGTGTAGAATACAGGTGAGTCTGTTATTAATCATGATCCAATTCAATTTATTCTTAACATATTCAAGCAGAATAATTGATCTCTTCCAATGTCTAGCAATAGTAATTCTTGCTGTCAACAGCATATAAGTGAGCATTTTAATGGATTTTTTGGAACCGTATTTGGGAATTTATGAAAGAGAGCTGTCTCCGGGGATCTACGAACATTCAACCCCATCAACATGTAGATAAA